TATATATATATATTAATGGTGAAGTGCCCAGACCTCCATACCCTCTGCCTTGGCTTTTAGTAGTTTCTTTAAACTGGAAAGACCAAGGAAAGTATGATAAAATTAACGTAGAATTTGTGCTAATTCACCCAAGAATGGTGGAAATGAACCCTGTGCTAACTATAAAGTGTTCATACATCAGATAAATATTATCAGCAAGGACACCGGTAGGCTTCTTAACCAGCTAAGGAAATAATTTATAAACAGAGCTCATCGTCATTTTAACAGTCCCCGTTTTGGTGTCTTACACTTCACAGAGTGCTTGCTCCGCATATATTAGTGAATTTGAGCTTTCTAGTCTATGCTGGAGTCCTGGTGTGGTGCTGTAGGATAAACTCTGGACTGCTAACTGCAAGGTCAACAGTTCAAACTCACCAGCCAGTCCTTGGAAACCCTATACAGGGCTGCTAAGAATTGGAACCCACTAGATGACAGGTAAGGAGCTCTGGTAGCGTAGTTACGAATCGGGCTGTGAACCACAAGGTCAGCGATTCGAAACTACCAGCTGTTCCGTGGGAGAAAGATGAGGCTTTCTGCTCCCCTAAAGATTTACAGCCTCAGAAACCCTATGCAGGGATATTATGATCCACAGCACATAACAATGACAGGTAACAGCCTCTGCTAACTCATTTTGCAATTGAAAAGACCAACACTCTAGGTGCTCAAAGGAACTGACTTGCCAAGAAGTGTTCTGATTTGAGAGGTGACTCTGTCTCCCATACATAGAGTAGGCAAAGCTGTCTGTGTTTATCAGAGTTCAATCTGCAATGGCGCAGGACTGACACTTAGAAGGACACCTCACCACCCCTACCACCCCCACCCATGGCTTGGTTTAATACTCTATTTCTGTCTGCACATTCTTAGTAATGTTATATAGCAAGGGGCCCATGTACTTCAGTTTCAAGGTCGTACACACAAGACCCTGGTTGGCAGAGTATTCATTTCTAACCCAGTTGGCCCTAGTGAGGAACGTTTAAGATCCACTGTCATCATTTCACATTTGTTTTCCTGCTCATTCCCCAACCCCTTTACATACTCACTTAGAGCTGTCTTTGGATGCATGTTTCCTTGTAAAAACAAAACAAATCTATTTTAAATAAATTCAAATCATTCTTAAAAGCTTTTAAATTAAAAATATAATAGTTACAGCAAAGCACACAAATCATAAATGTACAATTCATTGAGTTTTCACAAGCTAAATACACGAGGTCAAGAAACTGAACATTATTAGACCATATGCTCCTGGTGTGACGCTGTGGGATAAAGCACTGGACCACAAGGTTGTTTTGAACCACAAAGTCAGTGGTTCAAACTCACCAGCTGCTTCTTGGAAACCCTATATAGGGTCCTATGAGTCAGAACCTACTCGACAGCACTTACCAACAACAAATACTTCTTTTCAGTTATTACCTACTCAAGAGTCTCTGCTATTTATAAGGTTTTCAGTGACTAAATATTCTTCCTAGTCTGTCTTCATCTGGAAACTCATCTGAAACCTGTCCACCATGGGTGACCCTGCTGGTATTTTAAATACCAGTGGCATAGCTTCCAGAATCACAGCAACTCACAAACCACCACAGTATGACAAACTGACAGACGTGTGGTGGAAGTATTCACTTAGAAGCTCTTTATTGCAAAGCAAAAATACGCATCAGAGAGAGAAGTGGGTCTGCCTCTGCGAGTGGACAAGACACTTTGGGGTTGGGGTGCACTGGCTTATAAAGTAGGCTAATACATATTGATTAGGAGGAGTGGCATGCTGACTATTCATCAATTTTTAGTAAAGCAGCACAGACTTCTTGGAAATGGAGTGCCTTGTGCAGTTATTAGCTCTAGGTGTTATTTTCATGGGTTGTCTGCCTGCAGACAGCTGCTTCTCTTAGGGTTTCAGGTCTTGATATCCTTACCTTTGTCTCTAGTCTATTCCTGTTGGATTAGAGATGTCCTCCCCCACTTTCTTGATCCCTGTTTAGTACGAGAAGACTCAGGGCAAAGGGGTGGCTATGAAGCCAGAGCAAGAGAGACCCAGGGCCCACAGGTCCTAAGCTGCCCCTGACAAGCCCTCAAGAAGAACTGGGCTCTTCCTGAGAAAGCAGGATTTGACTAAAGGGAAGTTCTCTGGACTGCTAACCAACCACAAGGTCAGTGGTTCAAATCAAACTGCTGCTCCCTGGAGACCCTATACAGGGGAGTGCATGACAAACCTCGCAGCTGATACTAGCTACTGACTGACAACCAGCAAGGAAATGGTGGGTTGGAGTCCTCCAGTTGCAAGGAACTGAATGAGTTTGGGGGATACCTTGAGCTCTATAGCCAACCAACACCTGAATTTTAGCCCATGAGACCCAGCTACATCATACTAAGACTTGAGTAGAACTGGGAGCTATTGTGCACTGTTTTAAGTTGCTAAGTTTATGGCCCTTTTTTCACAGCAATAGAAAATGAATATGTTGTGTGTAGTTAGCTTGTTCAGTCCATTGCTGTATGGTAAGTTACTGTGTGGTTCCACTACCACTAATTTACCCATTCTACTCTGGTAGCGTAGTGGTTACGAATCGGGCTGCGAACCTAAAGGTCAGCGGTTCGAAACTACCAGCTGCTCCGCGGGAGAAAGATGAGGCTTTCTACTCCCGTAAGGATTTACACCCTCGGAAACCCTGTACAGGGTCGCTATGGGTCGGAACTGACTCGACGGCACGTAACAACAACAACAACTGCCAATGGACAGCTGGCTAGTTAGTGCTATGAACCTCCCAGTGCATGGTGAACGTATGCATGCATATCTGCTGGATATCTGCATTTAGGAGAGAAATTGCTGGATCATAGTGTGTGCATCAGTAGTTAAGTGGTAGAATTCTCGCCATCTAGGGAAGAGACTCGGGTTCAATTCCTGGACAATACACCTCATGCGCAGCCACCATCCACCATGCAAACTGCTATGACACTGAACAGGTGTCAGGAAAGCTTACAGATGAAAATGGACAAGGAAGAAAGGACCTAGTCATCTCCTTCCCAAAAACCAGCCAATGAAAACCCTATGTATCAACAGTGGTAGGATTCCATTGTAAGTGGGGTCTCCATGAGTCATGGGCCATAGACAGTAGCTAATAAGAATATGCCTATGTTCTTCTTAAGGCACAATGCCCAACAAAGAGGTAAATGATTTTTTAATAGGTATTTGATTCAGACTTGTCATGATCAAATAAGAATCGGTGTCACACACACACACTCGCTTTCTCATTAACTGTCTCATCTGAAGAGTAAAAAGCCCAGTAAGCCAAAAACTGAGGGAGAAGAACAGTTCCAACCCCGGGTACTTACTCTCCTCAATGGTCAGGTCCCCTGCATGAGTGAACAGTGAGTAAGATTGATGCTGACATTAACCACAGCCAGAACTTTGTGGAAACACTATAAATGTGATGTATTTAAATCACTTGACATTCTGCAAATGATCAGCAGTACTCAGTTGTGCATCTGCTGACATTGCTTTTCTAATCCTAATGGCCTT